TTTTGGTAGTGGGGATCAAACTCGGGTCCTTGTGCTTGTGAGGTAGTGGCAGAACCACTACTGAGCTAAATCCCTGGCCAAGACTGGCACTCCTTCAATAGAGTCAAAAGCACAGAAAACTTATGCCAGGAAATCCCGAGTTCACAATGAAATTTTATTATTGAGGAGATAGAGTAAGATGAGACACTGACAAAACCTCTTTACCACTGTGTTCTCATTTACAAAATGAAAAAATCAGTAACTTTTGCCCCACAGGATTATTCTGAGGATCACCAGAAATGAAGTACATGAAGGCATAAAATCATAATCCTGGTATGAATTTGAAACTCAATGAAGAGTTAAAGTGGAGTAATTCACATGCTACTTCAGACACCTTTCCTGTTACTTCTTTCATAAATATGCGCATATCAATTAATTCAAATTTTTAAAAAGACAACCATTGCAATTAAAAGGCCATTAATTACCCTTTACTACTAACACAGGATGTGTCCAGATTAATGGAATAATTCTTAGAAATCTACAAAGAATATTAGGTGCCCAGAGAAGAGATCTAGAGAATTGATGATAAATTGTGAAGGTTCCTGAATAGTTAATATAGCTTCAGGAAAGCCTATGCCTCAAGAGCAATGGAAGAAGCATCTTACATAGAATAGGGATAAAATCACTGATCAAAACACGAAGCACGTAATCACCAAATTAAATATACAAAGGAGTTCAGTCTTGGGAAAACATTTGTTTTTTATTTGTTTGTTCTTTATTAATTTTACTAGTATATTTTAGGTATACAATATAATGACAATCATCACCAGAAATTTTCACCTTTACATAATCCATCTTGGTTTTTTTTTTTCTATTCTCCTGCTCTCCTTTCAATCAATCCTCCCACCCCTCCCTATTTATAAAGACTTTGTTTCCATTTTTTCCTTTTTCTCATATTAATTCCATTCCCTTCTTTCCTTTACCCAACCCCTCCCACTTTCCCTTCCCCTTCCCCTTTGGATCTTTTCTACCTTTCTTTTTGTTTTATTGAGTTTACTGGTACTTTTAAAGTACATGGTTCAGTTACATTCATCATTGGGATCTTGGACCTTTACATGACACATCTTGGTTCTCATTATCCCCCATACCGCTGCACTCCCTTTACCCTTATTTAAAAAGACTTTGTTCCATTTTTTCCTTTTCTCTTATTTTTTCCCTTGTTTCCTTTCCCTACCCTTCCCACTTCCCCTACACCTTTTCCTTTAGTCCTTTTCTTCCTATTTCACATTATCAGTTATACAAATTGGATCTTATTTACACTTTTAGTTTTTCACACCAGAGAAACTATTCAGTATTTACTCAAGTGTGTCCTATTTATTTCATTTAAAAGTATAGCCTCAATGTGCATTCATTTAGCTACAAATGTTTCTCGCTTCTTATTCTTTATGGCTGAGTAGTACTCCATTTTATTAAAAACAAAACACATCTTTATCCAGTCTCCAGTTGATGGGCATTTGGGTTGTTTCCAAGTTTTAGCTATCATGAGCTGTGTTGATATAAACATGGGTGCACATATATCACTGTGGTTTGATTCTTTTAATTCTTTTGGAAAGATACCCAGCAGAGGGATAGCTAAGTAAAATGGAACTCCTAATCCTAGTTCTTTGAGGTATCTCTATATTGATTTCCACAGTGGCTGCACCAGTCTGCACTCCCATCAACAAGGGAGAAGGGTACTTTTC